ATTGTTTGCTTGGCGGTGTGCGACGAGGCGTTGTCGTGGTGAAGGAGGATCCTACTGCGAGGTCGTTTCTCTCGAACTTTTTCCAAAACAAGTGGCAAACAATTGTTAGTGTACTACTCTGCAGTAACTGTTTTTTGATCCTCTAAAACAATTGTTGCGTAATGACTTGTCCTTCCGAAGAACGAGGTCACCATCTTTTTTCCCACGCTTCGACCTCTCTTCACTCTAGTTGGTAACTCCTCGCAAGGAAACACCCAGACACGTGTACGTGTACGTGGTAGAGCCATGCTGCAGATATATTAGTAGTATAGTTGTAGCACGAATGGGTCGGCTCGACCGGGGAAGGACCACGCTCTCACAGAATACCAGCGTCAAATAGCAGCTTAACACTGCTGTGTTTCGTATGGTGAGTGTAGAGAACCGGAGACCCTTTTTACTGGAAAAGAGGCATTCCATCTTAGTCCTCACGGGTGACAACGCATCTGCATTTTGATTCGTAACTGAGGATAAATGTAGATGTCTATGAGCCACAGCAACCACTTACCATCAGGTGGACTGTGTGCTCGTTTGTCACCCTATCCTATAAAAAAAAGACAGCAGATTGCCTCTTAGTTTCAGATTCATAACAATAAATCCAGCTTTCGTCACCCGTAAGTATGTCGAACACAGCATTTGAGATCAACACAACGGTGTTTTTTGGCCTCTATCAAATTATGAGGTATCCACCGGGCGCAAAGCTTCCTGACCGCTAAATGTTCAATGTTCATGGAGGATTTGTGCACTTGACTCATTCCGATGCCTAAGCTTGTCCCAATCTGCTGATAAGTCACTCTTGTCAGTCCCTATCATACGCCGCACAACACTGATGTTATCTTCAGTCGTCGCTGTAGAAGGCCGTCCTTCACGCAAATCATCGGCGAGATTAGTGCGACCACGTTTAAACTCATTAAACCAGTTGTAAACAGTGGCATGAGATGGGGCTTCAACGTGAAAGGCCAATCGAAGTCTATCATAACTTTCTTGTTTACTTAAATGACATCAAAAGTCATAAAAAATCATTGTACTAAAACTTTCTCGCGTTAAATTCATGCTGACGTGACTCAATTTGCTGCCAAATCGTAAACAAATGACTAATTAATAAAATACATACACAATAATATTGGCAAAGACTTCCATTTTCATTTTGTGTGCGTACAATGTATAGTGTGGCTTCCTTTGAATCATGTATAGAGCGTATATAAAAAAAATTATATCTTCCTTACATCTTGTTTTTTTATTTATTTAAACCCTCTCTGAATTGAGGGAAGGCTTGTTTTGAGCAATGGAACGTATATAGGCTGTAACTTTACTTTTCTTTTACTACTAATATAGCTGCAGCATGGCTCTACCACGTAACAATCATAGGTAACCACTGAAGTAATACGTAAATACATTATACTTTAGTGTGGTAAAGGTGGGAAGTAACCTTCCCAGACATGTACATTGGGAAATTCATAATCTAAGATTATAATGTATATGTCGCAGAACTTGTTTTTTTATTTATTTAAACCCTCTCTGAATTGAGGGAAGGCTTGTGTTGAGCAATGGGACGTATATAGGCTGTAACTTTACTTTTCTTTTACTTTTTACATCTTGTTTATCATCTTTGATCTTTGAGGATTCAAGTGGAATGACTCACAGCCTGTAATTATACTGGCTCTCTGGAGCCTTCAGACTGGAACGTGGCAGTGCAATTTGGCGGCTGCAAGAGGAGAAGGAGTGGTATCTATCCAGACGGAATCCTAGGCAAAAAGAAAAGGAGACAATTATGCTATCACCTACTTACATGTATACGAGTAAGTAGTAGAAATTATTAAAATTATTGTTTGTTAATTAATTATTAATTATTGGTTGAATAGTATTGATTTATTCACAATGACTTAATAATATTGATACTGAAATTCATAAAAAGCACTTAATTAAAAATTTAATAAGAAAATAATTTCTTTTTTCTTCGTTTCTTTTTTTTTTTAAACGTTACCCCCACACTAGAATTTTCTCTTGTATCGTGGAGGCAACACACAAATTGCACAAGGACAAACATCCAGACTCGGAACAATTATTTGTAGGCCATACAAATACTTGTTCCGTGTGGGATACGAACCCGCGCTCCCCAGCGCAGCAACTCATTGTTAAGCCACTGCGCTACGGAGCCGTCAAATTTCATATTAATCAAAGATGATGAATATGTGGACACAAAAATTGATAATTAAAATCATTTAAACACATTTTAGCAAAGTAGAAAACTGATTGATTGGTTGATAAAGTGCCGAATGACGGGTTGACATGATATACTGTCCCGCACCACTAAGCACGCCAAGTATCTTTGAAGCTAATTCGGCTTTCCTTCTGGATGATTGCAGAACTAGATTTCACTCAATATTATATAAATGCCGAGAATTCCGATATTGGCTACAATGGGAGTATCATTTAAATGAGAAGATGTGAAGAAGGGAGAAGGGCTTTAGTTCTTTTCGATACACTTTGTTTTAGCATCTACATCAGAAGCTTTTCTGATGTCGGTTTTTCCTTTTCAAAATAACAATTCCTTTTAAAAGAAAACAAAATAACAGTAACTTCATCACCATCGTCATTACAGGCTTGCCAAGGAACGCCACAAAGCATGGTCCTGAGCCACCTGCATCCATCGACTTCTCATATACCCTCCATGGCGAGAGTTACATCATCATCATTAGGATGTAATTATGCAACTACAACTTCATCGGCTATTTTTTATACTTGGAAGTGAAATTTTTCTTCAAATGTAATTCGGACCATGCTCGAGGTATACTATTAAAATTGGTTAACAATAGGGTATTTTGCACCATGTAAAAAAATCAAAAAATACATATTTATGATCAGTTTTGTAAATAGATAAAAAAAAACGCTTATTTTTCTACTACTTACGATTTTTTCAATATACGTTCATCCCTTAAACTTAAAACCTCCCTTATTCGGTTAATTATGACTGTAAAAAACAAAATCGTAAAAACTTTTTATGTAAAATTTTAAGCTCTGTACATTTTTATTACAACTTTTTTTGTTTAATTTTATCTTTTTCGATTAATTGTAAATAAAACTTGAGAACTTTTTTCAATCCTTGCCGGGGGTTGCAGTGACGAAAACCTTTACACATCGTTTTTGTACCATTAAAACTATATTATATCAAAAATGCAAAGTTGAGTGCCAAAATTTTGATTTCAGACCCTATTTGACTGTATAGTCCAGTGGGCGTGCTTAGGTTATAGGCGTTAAAATTCTAAAATCGAAGATTCATTAAAATCAGTCACATTGAAAAATTATTCATTTTGGCATTGACGGGCAGAAAAAGTCAGTTTATGACAAAAGTCAAAATTAACTGTTGTATATACACTGGATATAAAATTAAATATATTATGTTTATATAAACTGGACATAAAATTAAATATATCATGTAGATATATATTTTAAAATTCACGCGAAAATAAGTTAACTGTTATAATGAACGACAAAAGGCGGTAAGCTATTACAGTATCTCCTAGTTTACATACATAGTTAGTTTGAATTTGTTGTGCTAATAGAACAATTCAAATGTTGACGGTAACGCCTCAGTAATACATTTTTTTTATAGGATAGGGTGACAAACGAGCACACAGCCTACCTGATGGTAAGTGGTTGCTGTGGCCCATAGACATCTACATTTATTTTCGTTTGCGAATCAAAATGCAGATGCGTTGTCACCCGTGAGTAAAGGATTTCCGGTTCTCTACACTCACCATACGAAACACAGCAGTGTTAAGCTGCTATTTTACGTTGGTAATCTGTGAGAGCGTGGTCCTTCCCCGGTCGAGCCGACCCATTCGTGCTATAACTATACTACTAATATACCTAGCTGCAGCATGGCTCTCCCACGTAACAATCATAGGTAACCCCTGAAGTAATACGTAAATACATTATACTTTGGTGTGGTAAAGGTGGAAAGTAACCTTCCCAGACATGTACATTGGGAAATTCATAATCTAAGATTATAATATATATGTCGGAGAATTTCAACAGTCCTCTGTTCAATTTTGATCTCGTCAATACATCAGGATAGCATTAATTGTTAAAAATAATAAAAGTGTAAGAGCGGATGTTCAAGTTGCTCTCTTGCTTATGCAATCAATCAATATCAGTAGTAAGTAAGACAACGTAACGCACTATACATTCAGCATAGTGAAATTACAGTTCGACCACACCGTAACACGTCTCCGCCACAATCACACACCAGTGTAACGTGAAGTAGGTACGTAATTACATGACAAACACTAAAGTATACCAACCAACAGCAACACTGCTTATCTCAGTGTAACACAGGGCAGCCTCTCAGCAACACCATCTTCCTTGCCTGCACTAGAAGAATTACAACAACGAACAGAACCACGACACTATCTTAGCACTAGTAAAATGACTACACTCGTGGAATGACGTGAACGGAATCTCTGGCGCACGGTGCCTACAGTGAACTTTATACTGCACAAACAAGTGGGGGTTTGTCGATATACCCTCAATTCCACCTCGATCCAACCTGTATTTTATAGTCGTTCCGACACATAGAACAATTCATAATTTGGTTTTGGTTCGTTGTTTCCTATGGTACGTAATACAATTTTTTACTATCGGTCTACTGTTTAAGATTTTATTTGTTAGCGTAGAATATTCTAAGGATAGTAGGATCTTTTGCTGCTGTTGTGAATTTGCCAATATACTACCAAGCTGATAATTTTTCAAATACGTTTTGCTTGTGTGTTCTTCCCTAGTTATACCAGGCGGTCCCATAATGAACTGGCCTGATATAGTTCAACGCGACATGTCGCTACATGTTGTGTTGCATTAAATAGTACGTTTATCGTGCACTTAATATAAGAAACATGCATCGACATGAAATGCTTAGTCTTAGTTTAACAGGCATTTGAATAACGAGATTCGCGTATTTTTTCAAAATGTCGAAAACTGAGTATCGAAGTGTCATAAAGTTTCTGTTTAAAGAAGGTTTATCCCCTGCCCAAATAAAAGATCGATTGGATGGCGTGTATAAGGAGTCTGCCCCCTCCTATAGCACAGTGAAAAATTGGGTGAAAGAGTTTCGCCTCGGGAGAGAAACCGTCGAAGACTTTGGCCACGACGGTCGACCTGTGGAAGTGCTCACTCCTGAAACGATTGCTCTTATCGAAGAGGAGGTTCTGAGTGACCGCCGTTTGAAGATTAGAGAAATTGCAGCAAAGCTTGGGCTCTCTAAGAGTACCGTTCATCGCGCGATCCATGAACATCTTCACATGAAAAAAGTGAGTGCAAGATGGGTACCGAAACTTCTTTCAGCGGTACAGAGACAGGAAAGAGTGCGCTGCGCTTCGGAGTTTTTGGATCTTTGTGGCGAAAATCCAAAGACTGTGATCGAGCGGCTAGTGACTGGTGATGAAACTATGATCTTGTATTGTGATCCACAAAGCAAGCGCGCGTCAATGGAATGGCGTTATAAGGGTGAAAAGCCCCCTAGAAAGGCAAAGGTGCAACAATCGACTAAAAAACTGATGTGCACAATATTTTGGGATTTTCAAGGCATTTTGATGGTGGATTTTAAAGAACGTAATACAGTCGTGAACGGCGAATATTATGCTTCTTTAATATATAAATTACGAGACAAGATAAAGGAAAAACGAAGAGGCAAGCTGTCTAAAGGTGTCCTGTTGCTCCATGACAACGCCCCTGTTCATACCGCTGGTGTTTCGAAGGATGCAGTTCGTCAATGCGGGTTCACAGAAGTTCAACATCCACCTTACTGTCCAGACATGGCCCCGTCCGACTATTATTTATTTCCAAATTTAAAGCGGGACTTAAGAGGAAGAAAATTTTCAAGCGATGAAGAGTTGCAGGCGGCCGTCTTCAGTCATTTTGAGGATAAAAAATGTGATTATTTTTATAAAGGTTTAGAGATGTTGATTCACAGATGTCAGAAGTGTGTTAGTATTCATGGTGATTATATTGAAAAATAAAATTGGTTTCGTTTCATTTCCTTCATTGGTTCATAGTTAGGCCAATTCATTATGGGACCGCCTACGTACTTCTCGTAGTAATGGATCATCAATAATTTTTGTTTCAGTTACTGCAAGTGTTCTTCCAAAAACAAAAATATTCGCAGAAACATTCAGTTCTTGCATTGTAAAAATGTCAAAGAAATTATTGAAGCTCTCCTTTATCAGGAAGATGGTAAGCTAATGTTAGATTTTAATTTTCTTGACTTCGTGCTACCGGCTAGTCCGCTTCTGGGTTTGACTACCAAATCAACCGTAACTAAATTCAAAGGAAACCCGTATATTAAGTATCTTTAAAATAATATAATATATTTCATGGACGTATAAAGTCTCAGTCGATCCGAACTAGAACACCATTGTGGACAATTCTCTTCTTGGATTACGTCCCTAACCAAAAGCAAAAAAGACCTGCCCTCAGCATTAAGACTTATTAGTTTACTAAAGAGAGATGTTTTTTATGATTTGTAAGCTATATCATATTGTTATCAAAAACTTATAGTTTCAAAATTTTCAGGTTCAACAAACGCCAGCAGAACTAAGTTATACCAGCGTGCACATTTCAAAACGAAATCTTTTAAGCCCCGTCATTATAAAGACACTTGTGTTCCAATGACTCCTTCTATGCATACAAGGTAAAATGATTAGAGATTTTTTACTCGTAATGTACTAAATTATTTTAAATATTTGCCCTCAAAAGGCGTTGCATAAAAATCTATACGTACTGTAAATTGCAGGTTACGATATATTGGGCATTGTCCACTTGAGCCAGCGAAACCATTGGATTGGAAAACTAGGTATGTTTTATATACCTGCTATTTTCACATTTAATAAAAGTATAAATTTTAATTAAATAGATATTTTTAGATGAAAAATTGCTGCTTCAGAGTTCTGATCTCTTCAAGAAACAAATATAAAATGTTTTTTTTTAATTCATATTTTAGGTACTTACAGTACCTATCTACGATTCATGATATAAACAATTTTTAAAGTTGTATTAGGAGATATTTATGAATCTAGCTACAAAAAGGATAAAGATGAATTAAAAAGTCTTTTAAAATTTTGTCCAACCTAAAGCGGTTCGATGCCTTTAACACAAATTCGCTAATTACGCATTCAGTTCGGTTACATAAACATCACGAGTAAATATACGGAACAGAGATAAAGCTTCATACTTCATACTACAAGCACGCGGGGCATACGTGCGTGACCACTGGCCGTTTGTCGCGTACTTATATAAGTATTATTATACTGAGTATAGTAATACTAATATATTATGGCTCCAGTACACGTTGGCCGTTTTGTATATATTTGGCGTTTGCTGCCAACGCTCGCCGACGAGCCGCATAGTGTCGGTTTTCCGTGCACAAATCAAAGAAATTTGACGCAAACCGCAAACAGCGATCACACGTTGGCCGAGTGTTCAGTTCATAGTTACGCGTCGGAGTAGACTGTAGTGTCGGCTTAATAAAATTGTTTCAACGTGGCGACATGGACTAATGAGCAAATATTTAGGTTCACTGATTGATTGTCACAATGAATCAGTTATATGGAACCCTAAACATGAGCAACATAAAAATAAAATCAGAGTAACAACTTGCCTAACTGCATTAAATAATACACGTGAAGTTGCGATTTCAGAGTACCTACCTAATGATAAATATTATTATAAATTATCTCTGAGTTTATGTTGCTCAGGGATAATGTAGCTTAGGGGCTTCTTTTAGGCTATCTTTTATTTTGAAAAAAACCCCAGCGAAGCGGGCACGGGTCAGCTAGTAGATCTTGTAAGGGTTTCTTTTCTCCTTTTGAGGTCGGAGGAACCCTAAAATGGACAAACTTGGATTATTGTTGTATATGTAGTTTCTTTTTCGTTCACTCTGAGGAAAGTGAAGTATAAGTTTATTACAGCGGCCGCGATCACCCTAACGTCCATCATCATCTAGCTACCAACGCAGAATGAAACACGCCAACGTGTGAACGGCACCACGAAAATCTGCCGAGCGCGTTCGCCAAGCGCGCTCGGCCAACGTGTACTGGAGTCATAAGAGTATAGTATACTCTTTGGTCGCGTACGCGGTGAAACTGGTAAAAACCGGTTCGCTAGCACAGCCAGTACCAGTCTACATATATATTTATCTATGGTACCAGTAGACAACAATCTCAGGGTCAGTGCGACGCACGTTGTTTGTTTTGTTAGTTGCAAGTTTGAATATTTTAATGTAAAAACGTGGAATTATTGATTGTTTATTGTACTGTGTGTATGAATAACACTAGAAAAAATAATTTTTTTTTTACGTGGTAGAGCCATGCTGCAGCTATATAAGTAATATAGTTGTAGCGCGAATGGGTCGGCTCGACCGAGTAAGGACCACGCTCTCATAGAATACCAGTGTAAAATAGCAGCTTAACACTGCTGTGTTTCGTATGGTGAGTGTAGAGAACCGGATACCCTTTTTACTGGAAAAGCGGCATTCCATCTTAGTCCTTACGGGTGACAAGGCAGTCTGCATTTTGATTCGCAAACGAGGATAAATGTAGATGTATATGGACCACAACAACCACTTACCATCAGGTGGATTGTGTGCTCGTTTGTCACCCTATCCTATAAAAACAATCATACATACACTCTTGTTTACTTGATTCTTTCCTCCCTCCCTCTTGGTTATCTGAACTCCTGTTATTTTGTACTCTTGGTAATTTCAAACTTTCCTCTGGTCCTTGAGTTCAAATAATTGAGAGTCGACTTTATAGTGGCGGGTAAAAATACCAACTAACCCATATATTCCCGCGGATGTCGTAAGAGGCGACAGAGGGAAACTGAGGCAGACGATGGGCTGCAGCATCTTTCTGATAACAGCAAAACAACAATAAAAAAACTGTGGTTGCCAACCCGCTCGTCGAGTGTGGCAACAATGGCAATATACCCCCCATAATTAAAGTTACGAAGAGAAGGCCCCCAGTCCTCGGCGGCCCCGCTATTCCTGGCTACGGTGGAGACCATGGTAACGGCGGGACAGGGGGTGCTAAGAGTCTCTGGTGGAGGTTCGGTTACCAACTAAGACGACTCAACCTGGCAACATATAACGCATGCACCCTGAGAACTGACGAGAACATCCTGGAGCAGGAAGATGAGATAGACAAGTTGGGCTGGAATATTATAGGATTATCTGAGATCCGAAGAGAGGGGAGGACATGGTAATCCTCGAATTCAGCAACTTGTTCTATCACCGGGAGAGCGACCATCTGTCCCAAGCAGGTGTCGGATTTATCGTCCAGAAGTCTCCCGTTAACAACGTTGTAAAGATTGTGGAAGTGTCGACGAGGGTTGCGTACCTTATACTCAGAATCACCAAACGGTATTCGTTGCAGGTCATACAGATTTACGCACCAATCTCGGCACATCCCGATGAGGAGGTGGAGGAATTGTATGAGAATATATCTAGAGTCATGCCTTCCTCCAAAACCCGCTATACGCTGTTAATGGGAGACTTCAACGCAAAACTAGGCACAAAAGAGAACGGTGAGTTGAAGGTAGGAAAATTCGGGATAGGGCAACGGAACGCAAGGGGCCAGCAGTTGGCCGACTTCTTGGAGAAAGAGGAACTCTTTCTTCCCGAAGCGACCCCACAGGAAGTGGACCTGATCGAGCCCTGACGGTTCGACAAAAAATTAGATTGACTTCATTATGACGACCAGACGACAACTGTTCAGTGATGTCTCAGTGATCTCGGGGGTAAAAACCGGCAGTGATCACCGAATGGTGAGAGGCGCACTGAACCTAAACGTTATGTTGGAGAGGTCACGTCTAATGAAGTCAACGTCTCCGTCTCCCTCGTGCTCTAATCCAAAGTCCCGAAACCTTTCAGCTCGAGCTAGAAAACCGTTTTCAGTGCCTAGAAAATTGCAATACAGCGGACGATACGAATGACAAGCTCGTGGAAAATGTCCTTGTGGTCGTAGCTAAGTTTTGCAAGACCCGCCGCAGAAGAACACAAAAACTCTCCGAACCACTCTTAATCTCATGGCTGTTAGGGAAATGAAGCTGCAGTCTTCAGTAGATTTGACAGCATACAGGCAACTGAACAGACAGGTCTCCAAATGCATGTGGCGGGACTTACGCAACTTTAATACTGCTCGTATTGAAGAAGCGATCGAGCGGAACCAGGGCACCAAAGTCTTTGCTAGAGATCTGTCTGCCAGAAAGAGCCAATTTTCGAAGCTGAAGACCGAGTGTGGCAGCGTCCTTTCCGGGACACCTGGATTTTGAGTGAGATTGAGAAGTTCTATGGGCAGCTGTATACATCATCGTTGTATCCACACGCAAGTGTGAGTAACGATCCAAGAGCAAGTCTTATCCGACACTATTCCGATGATGTTCCGGACGTCAGTCTGAGCAAGATTAGAATGGCTCTCCAGCACCTTAAAACGGCAAGGCCCTAGGCGAGGATGGAATTACAGCGGAGCTTCTGAAAGCGGGTGGAAAACTGGTACTTGAAGTCCTTCAGAAGCTCTTTAATTACATCCTCCATGGTGGCAGTACACCGGAGGCGTAGAGCAGCAGTGCGGTGGTCTTGTTCTTCAAGAAAGGCGACAACGCTCTCTTGAAGAACCACAGACCGATTTGCCTTCTGAGTCGCGTCTACGTGCTGTTTTCGAGAGTCATTACGAATCGTCTCGCATGCAGACATCTAACCTCCGGGATAAGCCGGTTTCTGAAAAGGCTTTAGCACAATTGTACAGAAGTCCGAGGAATACAATTTCCCACTATGTCTGGCTTATGTGGACTATGAGAAAGTCTTTGATTCCGTCGAAATTCGGGCGGTGCTGCAGTCCCTCCAGCGGTGCCAAGTTGACTGTCGGTATATCGAAGTGCTGAAGTGTTTGTACAGTAGGGCTACGATGGCTATCCAAGTACAGAACCAGAGTACGAAACCTATCCAACTGCAGAGAGGTGTAAGACAGGGTGACGTTATATCCCCGAAACTCTTCACCGCTGCATTGGAAGACGTTTTCAAGCTTCTGGACTGGAAAGGATGCGGTATTAACATCAACGGCCACTACATCACTCACCTTCGATTTACCGACGAAAGAACTAAATGTCCTTATGGCAGAATCGCTGGAGGATCTAAGCACTATGCTCAATTACTTCAGTAGTGCATTCCAAAGGTTATGTTTTAAGATGAACATGGACAAAACAAAGATCATGTAAAACGTCCATGTCACACTTATGCCGGTAGTTGTTGGGAGCACTAAGCTCGAAATTGTTGATGAGTATGTTGACCTGGGAATAGTCCGATTAGGCAAGTTGACCGAGAGATCAACCGACGGATTCAACTCGGCTGGGCAGGGAAATTACGGCACATCTTCTCGTCAGGTATACCACAAAACTTGAAAACGAAACTGTATAACCAGTGCGTCTTGCCAGGGATGACCTATGGAATTGAGACGTGGTTTTTCACTGCTGGCCGGACGAGGAAGCTCAAGGTCGCTCAGCGAGCTATGGAGAGGGCTATGCTCGGAGTTTCTCTGCGTGATAAATTAAGACATGACGATATCCGCAGTAGAACCAGAGTGACCGACATAGCCCAACGGATTCGTAAGCTGAAGAAGCAATGGGCCGGCCATGTAGCTCTAAGAACCGACAACCGTTGGGGTAAAAAAGTTCTCGAGTGGCGGCCTCGTACCAGTGGACGAAGTGTAGGGCGTCCCCCCACTAGATGGAGGGACGACCTGTTAAGAAATGCAGGAAGTCGATGGATGCAGGTGGCTCAGGACCGTGCTTTGTGGCATTACTTGGGGGAGGCCTATGTTCAGCAGTGGACTTGTGAAGGGCTGTAATGATGATGATGACTTTATAGTATTTTATTCTTTTTTAGTTCTTGAAGTTGGTTTTTAATTTTTTTAAAGTGATTTTTTTATTTACATGTTTGAAGGCAAGCGTTCACCGATTACGAGTTTGTATCATCATCCGAAGACGATGACGAAGACGGTGGTATTTTGAGATTTAGAAAGAAAATTAAAACCAAGAAAAAAGTTCGCTATTACGATCTTTTACCGGGCGATATATATTTGCCAACGCCGTCGCCTGTTATAAAGCATACGTCATCAGATCAATCCATATTAAATGTAAGTTTTATTTTTTATTTTGATTAAACATGGCAAATAATACTAAATGTAACAACATTTTAACATGGCTTGATCAAAAATTGCCAACATTTCTCTATAATCTTTACATAAAATATAGACTTGCAACGAATATTCGGCTATTATTCGGTATTTGGCATATTCGGCTACTTTTTTTTCCTATTCAGTCGAATACCGAATATTTAAGAGGTTTTATTGCAGTCAGATAAATGATTGGTAAAATGAAAATATTTATTTTATATTTTTTCTTTTTCTTGTAACATTAAAGTAGCGATAAGTAAAAAAGAACTCTTAGATAAAATATGTCTATGTACTCGAATTATCGTAATTAAAGTGGAAGACAATGGTGCAGAAAGACTAAATTTTCTTCCTTTTCAGGCAGTAGTTTATCCCTTTTTTCTCGTAGACAAGCCCAGCTTCAGAGAATAGACGCTCTGAAGAATATATGCTACTTCCTTCCCGGCCGAATACCTTTGTCTAATATTCGGCTATTTGGACAGGAAGCCCGCAAAATATTCGGTATTCGGCGTGTGGCCGAATATACTATTCGTTGCAAGTCTAATAAAATACCTTCTTCTTCAACAGTCCGGATGAGTCCACAGTTTGACATGGGGTTCTGGAAATTTCAATGTAATCATCACGTTTTGACACTGATCCCGTCGCAGTATGAGTACTATATATCTGACGTCAACAAAATGCCAGGGTTATACTGTTTTATCCTTAGATATTTCCTGAATTTCCCATAGTCTTCTTTTACTATACCCACGGAATAGCCTTATGGATTCTCTAAAGGTCAAATGGTAAAATTACAGTAAAAAAGTCACGCTTAAAATGAAATAAATAAACATTTCAGATGATAATGTTAGTAAAACTCAAGGGCTCATGGCCATATTTTTACCGAAAAAAATTTGGGAAAACATTTTAATTTATGTCAATTGGAAACACAAATATTGATTTTATTATATGAATTGAACTAGGTGGCTAGTCCTAAAATAAGTGGTGAAGTGATATCAGCCCAAAGAGCATCTGTGCATGCTGCAGACTTGAAACCGCCGTTGCCACCGAAGTCAGGTTTTGAGTAAGTGTGTATTTTTTACATTTAAGTTGAAAATCCAAGTTTAAACATATTTAACATGTTTTGTGTCTGAGTTTTGAGTCCACACAGCCCGATTTTATTATTTTAAAAAGAATATCTATGTTTTTCGTTTCGCATATCTCGATGATTAATTGTACTAATGAACACTTAGTTTTTTAATTAAAATATTTTTAGTTTATATTTTTTTATTTTCAAGTTTATAGTATCTTTCTTGCTTATGAGACTTGAACGATGTATGTTGTTAAGTAGAACAATTTGAATGGTCCATATAATTTTAGTAATTTAGACATTAAAAGAAAGTGTTTCAGGCAGTTTTTCCATAAGTTACAAATCTAAGAGACTTACTAATAGTGATAAAAACTTATCTATTGCAAATAATATTTCAGATTGATAAAACCGCATAGTGGAATCATCATCAACGCAGATAAAGATTACATCTTGGACATTCCAGAAATGCCGGGGTACAAATTACCAGGGTAAATTGAACTGACTTTGTTTATATTTGTTTTTTTTTTCACCAAATTAATTTTACTTTTTTTATTTTAGTGGTAAACCCTTCAAAAAGAAAACAACACAACGTAAATCAAGGTAAGTAACATTAAATAATTTTAAATTGTACTCGTATATTTTTATCCGTTTTGATTTTGAGCAAGCAACAGCAACAAAACTGATTATAATTAATTAGTTATTTAATTAATAATTATGTGATGCATAATCCTTAACATAATGTTATCTTTTCTTATAGGATATGTAGTAAGAAAACGTGTACCCGAAAAAAATGTCGGTAAGTAGGTAATTAGTTTACTTCGATAACAATTATGTTAGCAATAAAAAATGTAGTTCTGAAAAAACCGCAAACATACATACATGAATACATACTTTAAACGGACTTGCAAGCGTAAAAGACAAAATTAAAATTTTCGTACACAAATTCTTCAAATACTGCCATGTAATAACGACTTTTTACAAAAGCCTTAGATGCCTATTGTTTCCATTATAACCGTTTTAGAAGTAGTACGTCGTTAGTGATAATTATTTGAGAGCTTTAAGATTTACAATCACCGAACTATGGAGTATTTTTACTAATTTTGAGGTACAAAAGCACATATTATGGTCCGAGAGCTCATGACGCATTTTTCATGAAGTGTTTGATGCATCATAAAACTTTATTATATATAATAAAAAAATTCTCACAAAAGGGCAGACAGTTTCTCCGGGGGTTAATAATTTAAAAATATTTAAATAAATCTTGCGTGGAAAGGAGGCATATGTGCTACGGATTGTAATGAGTGCGAAAGAGAGCTACGGTCACCGAGATGTTCTTAGTCATTCTTCGTGCTATCACTGGCTGCGTATCACGTGATCATGTACAACTGTACCTGCAGGATATTATTTACTCAGAGAGTTTTCATCTAACCTTTAATACGCATTGTGACTGACAGTTGTGTGTAATTTTATATTAAAATCAGTAATTAAATACACTATTTTGGATTAATAGTCCTTATTAATTCAAGCAATCGATTACAATGGACTCTGTTTCTTGTAGGTATATATATATATATATATATGTACCTATTGTGTATTAACAAAATCCCAGAACATATTCAAAGTTTGTCCATAAACAAGTTTAAAAGTTTTATTAAATAAAAACTGTACAAAAAGGGTTATTATAATATCAAGGAATACATGAATGAAAATAAACCCTGGGAATAAGGTGATCTCCACCATGCTGGTTCTCTGAAAAATTATTTAAAAATTGTATAAACGAAATTGTTTGAAAAAAAAGTCCCGCTGGGTTTCTTGCTGGTTCTTCCCAGGACAAAGGTATTTTCCGAACCAGTGGTAGATAAAAAATTACTTTCAATAAGAATTATGTAATAATCGATATTGAATAAAAAATAATTCTATTCTATTCTATGCTGACGAGTAAGATATCAGTGATAATGAAAGGGAAAATTAACAAAATATATGTATTTATCTATATTTTTGGTATAGATATATTTTTAATGTCAGAATTATTTTCATTGTAATGAGATAATTTTTGACACTTTTTTGAAATTTTTGACAATACAAATTTGGGGTAGTTTGCCCCTATGTCAACCCGTTCAGAAATATCTGCCTTTTTTTTCTTAATTCTTTATCAACTTAGCTGACGGATAGTCATTATTATTATTTCAATCAAACACTTTTTTCACATATCGATGACCGTCGCTCTCTGTTGCACTATAGCAACATTTGTCTCCTGTCAACACAAGATTTATTTAAAATAAGAAATTTTTATTATTTATAATAATAAACACGCTGTAAAAATGGCACATTAAATCAAACACTTTTTTTGGAATTATTGAAAATAAAACTTTGGAGTAGTCTGCCCCTATGTCAACCCCTTCAGAAGTGTGTGCCATTTTTTTTCTTAATTCTTTATCAACTTAGCTGACGGATAGCCATTATTATTATTTGAATCAAACACTTTTTTTTGGGGAATTTTTTTTGCGACTAACCTGTATGCGCAGTACCAGGTGTACCCAGGTAGGCCAGGCAGACAGTCATATACCTGCTTATTGAGTCGACTGATACTTTTCAACAAAGTTTCATGATGCATCATACACTTCATGAAAAATGCGTCATGAGCTCTCGGACCATTAAGGAACATTTTACTATCGAAAAATTTTAGGGTCCGTTGGTAATTTGAATTAATTCTATGAACACAGCCAAGACAAAATAATAATTCGTGAAATTATTAGAGGTCTTGTACAGACTTTACTGTATTAATGGTATTAGAGGATAGATTAAAAACTTTTATGGCCGTATAAAATATCTTTAGCATTCCTAATGCAAACAGTGGCTATATTTATACGTTATAATATATTTAAAAAATATACTGCTTTTGGTGCTTCTGCCGAGCTACAATTCTACAATACGATGAAAATGCAATTAAGATTCTCATATATCTATTGTAAAGTTGTAGACTAAATAGTACTACTTAGTAATGTCTGGAGGGTTATATGCAATATTAAATACTCAATTTTAGCAGTTTTGTCTTCGTTATTCCCCTTTTGGGTCTCATAGTGTTAATAATTATATTTACAAAAGCCCTACAAACCCCTTTTTATCCCCCAAGATTATCGATCTTAGTGCAAAAATAATTAATATCCTTCCCCTTTTTATTGCCCTGAGTCTGACGAACCTGTAAGAGCCGCATAGGCTAACAGCATTAACATCACAGAAACTAGAAACCCCTTTTTATCTACAAAGCCATTATCGGCACTACTAAACGGCTACTTTATCACTCTGTTTTTAAAGAGATAAGAATCTGTTATATATACAGGTTAAGAAAGATACAAACTTTCTTAAACAGCTGTTATACAGCAAGAGATCGATGCAGTGTCTGCTTATAGGTATTGCTTGTGTGATACTTGGTATGTAAGTAAAACCACAGAATAAATAATAGTACAAGAAGTAAAACATTAAAATGTGGGCTGCCGCTGGGACGCCTGGGTTCGAAACATTTTATTCGGTGGCTTTGTGATCATATTACCTGTTCATAAAAATATCATTGATTGTAATTTCATAATCCACTGTTAATAAACCTTGAATATTTTTATCACCTGTAAACGTTAGTTATTATCGACCTTACTCATTAAAATCGACGTGGATTTATGAAATTCTTAAAGTAGCTCTATCTCTTTTCAATAAACGACAATAAAAAGAGACAGTATATATGTATATATATATATATATATATATATATATATATATATATATATATATATATATATATATATATATATTTAATATACACTTAATTTAAGTAAGCAGTAGTAAGACATATGATGATTTTTTTAAAATTGTTGGTATAAGAAACAAACCAGGGACACATAACATAAGTACCCATTTAGTAACGTACTTATGATAAATTCACGTCCACCCACACTGTTCAAAGGTTTCATACCACCTGATACAAGTAAAAAGAGAATCTGTTTCTCGCCACTCACCTTACGAAACAGTAGTATAGTACTGATATTTTACGCTGGTATACTGTGAGAGCGTGGTCTCCCTTCAGTCTAACTGACTGACTCATTCGCGCAGTAACCACAAATGTAACTGCTGCACGGCTCTACCATGCATAAAATAATAGTACCTATTGTTTTTGTATATGGACTACAAGACTTTACGGTCCTATGTTTCGACAAAATTCTTAGCACAAGCGTTGAAATTTATTTGAAGTGGTTAAAAAAATGTAGCTTTTTTTTAATAGGATAAGGGTGACAAACGAGCACACAGTCCACCTGATGGTATGTGGTTGCTGTGGCCCTAGACATCTGCATCTATCCTCGATTACGAATCAAAATGCAGATGCGTTGTCACCCATGAGGACAAAGAAGAAGCCTCTTTCCAGTATAAAGGGTATCCGGTACTCTACACTCACCATACGAAACACAGCAGTGTTAAGCTGCTATTTTACGCTGGTAATCTGTGAGAGCGTGGTCCTTCCCCGGTCGAGCCGACCCATTCGTGCTACAACTATACTACTAATATAGCTGCAGCACGTATAAATATAAGATTGATAAAATAGAAGATTATATCCAAAACATAACTTGAATATTTATTTTTACTTTACCTGCTCTACCACATATATAGCTCTATATTAACAGCTTTTTTTTTAAGTAAAGGTTAAATTCAAAACGTATTTTGTTTTAGAAAACGCGCTGAAATACGGAGAAGACAAAGACAGTTAAGAAACAGGTATGATTTTTTTTCGTGTGGAATGAAAGTTTTTTTTAAATTAAAGTAACAAGCAGTTTATCCGGCATTATCGAAACAATATTTCAACATATTATCCATGTATTAATGACGGTATTAATGGTATATTAACCGTGTATTAATGACAGTAATATCTTAATCTATACAAATAAATAAAATTGAAGTGTCTGTTTATAATGTTAAAATAACTACGTTTTACTAAATGCATATGAAAGTATATACGCTACCAACAACAAAAAAAAACAATTTTTAAAATTTTTGTCTGTCTGTCTGTCTGTTTGTTTTGGCTAATGTCCGATACGTCTGGACTGATTTTGATGGGATTTTTACTGGTAGATAGCTGATTTTATAAGGAATAACTTAGGATAAGTATCCTAAGTTCGCGGCTTCGCCCGCGTGGAATTTACTGCGGTTTCATGGGTTTTAATTTTTTGCGCGGAACCCTAATTATTTACTACCTTTTACTAAATGCATATGAAAGTATATACGCTACCAACAACAAAAAAAAACAATTTTTAAAATTTTTGTCTGTCTGTCTGTCTGTTTGTTCTGGCTAATGTCCGATACGTCTGGACTGATTTTGATGGGATTTTCACTGGTAGATAGCTGATTTTATAAGGAATAACTTAGGATAAGTATCCTAAGTTCGCGGCTTCGCCCGCGTGGAATTTACTGCGGTTTCATGGGTTTTAATTTTTTGCGCGGAACCCTAATTATTTTTCTAAAATAAAAGTATCCTAAGTTACTCCTTATCACATCAGCCGTCTGATTTTCTTACTTATAGAAGCCTCTCCAATACAAGGTTTTTGTCATTTGACAGTGTGTCTATAGTGAAATAATCATCACAATTAAATCTTTCCAAAGTAGATCGTCAAGCAACAATGTATTGGGGTTATTCCGTTTATCCACCCTAAAAAATCCAAGCTAGGGTGCATACTCGGAAATAGGGTACATCTATCCACCCTAGACGGGGTGGATAATCGGAATCGCATATATTACTTTTCTTCCGATTTTCGACCTCGGCTGTGTACAGTCATTTATAGAAATATGATAAAAAGTGGCCCAAGATACTTAGTAGACATTAGTATATACATAAAAATAAATACATACTTCTTGTTTGAAAGGTCAATGCTGAAATAAAAGGAGTACCTCACAAGACGACAGATTCATTGTAATCTTGGCATAAAATAGTTTAAAATGAAGTTAAAGACAAACATCCAATAGTAACGTTTTTGGAATGCTTGCAATAAAACGCCCAGTTCTTCGCTAACACATCCATTGTAGCAAAGAAATTTAGAAAACGATTGAAAATGTACATTAAAAGTGACGAATTTATCCAGGATATCAAATTACGCCTACTCAATAATGAAATTAGTGTTAGTAATTGCCTGCACATATCGCAGAATTACGCAATAATATTATTTTGAACGAGGAAGTTTAATTTGTTTTTTTTTATTATCTTATATTAAATATTTAATTATATACAATATTAAAAACTATAATAATAATAAAAGAAACTAAAACTAGAAACTATTTAATCTAACTATTTGATTTAATTGCAATACGTTTAAGTTTGTGGTTATTAAAAATTAATTAACAATGAAGTGTATGTGTTGAACTGTACTTGGGGTAAAATGTCGGAAGAACAAATAACAGTAAATTTCGATTATCCACCCCGTGTCTGGTGGATAGATGAACACGCGTTTCCGAGTATCCATCCTAGAGTAGATTTTATTGGGTAGATAAACGGAATAACCCATGTATTGGATTAACCAAATTTAAAATTTGTAAAAATTTAATATCTAACCGATCGGTTGACACTAATGAAATTGTTTATAGCAGTTTTAAGAGCTGATTTACTACGTAATCGGCGGTAAATGAAAATCACGAAAAAATGCAGGTTTAGAAATATAATAAACATTTTGAAATAAACCAACATCACTGACCTCTATATACTTGTATATATAGAGGTCAGTGGCCAACATGTATTAGGGAAGCGCGACAAACTCAGAGGTGGTGGGTAGTATATGGCCAGCATTAGAAAGTATGAAACTTTATTTTTTTATTTTACTGTTGATTAGAATTGAACGCATTGTTATTTTAATTATTTGCTATTAAACAATTTAACTCATACAGGTCACACTTTGATGTTCCCTATACTATAATAGGAGTAACTGATGGAAAACCTAGGGCCAGGGGCACGCAGAAACATTTAAAAGACGACGATTCTGTTTGTGGCTTAGATGAAATACCAAAACCAGAACATGTGAGTACAATTCTGACAGGTAGCAGGTCTTGTTTTCAGCTTTTAAAAATCTGTCTGAATAAGCACCTAGTATTCTATTTCTGCCACCAAGCAAGCACTGCTTGTTGTGTTCTGGTGTAAAGTGTAATAGAATCAGCATTAGAGTATGGGGCATTCAGTCTCAGTCCTCTGGTCTGACAACGTATCTATAGAGCCTCCTTTGTTTGAAGTTAATTAGTGATTTCCAAGGACACTTACCATAAAAATGATTGTTAGCTCTTTTATGACATTATTATATCATTCAAACTGAATTTCGGTCACGGCCGCCTACTTCAACGGAGATTAGACAATGGATATCCGCAAAGTAACGCCTGATTCAATTAATGACGTCTTTATATTTAGTAATGGCGGCAACTTTTAAATTTTTAAGTTTTACGAGACGGTAATCTTAGGCTACGTTTCCACCAGAGATGTGTTAGGCCGCTGAGCGGTGCGAGGATGCGTAACGACGTTATGGGACGGTGCGTAGATGAGCGGTGGGAAGATGTGTAGCGGACTCGTTTTAGATGCGAGCGGGGTGAGGTGTGGTGGGAGCGGAGCCTTCGCACACATCCCTCATAACACATCCTTCACACACACCCTTCCTTTGTTTTGTACGTACAAAAACCTCGCTAAACTGAGCCGTTGCCACTAAAGCTGTGCTGAGCGAGGCTAGGTAAATGAAGTGTCTATGGGTTTTTAACAAACAGACCTTTTCTGATTAAAATCTGTATAAGTAGGTGTGTCTTCTTTACCTATTTCTAGCGCTTAGCAGCACTGTCTGTGCTTCGGTTTGAAAGATAAGAAAACCAGTACTTATCTTTATTATCTTCTACATCAGTCCTTAAAATTCGGTTGCTAGACATGGGTCTCTCCCGTTGCACTGACTTACACACATAAACGCGCCTGTCGGCACACGTCAATACTACAATCAGTGCGAAACCTACATCGTGAAATAGAATAACTGTACATATACTTGTATTGTATGTATTACAACAATAAAAAAACTACTTTTCTGTGTCAAAGTAATACCTTTTTTTTGCTAATATACAATAATATTTCTTTAAGGTTCATATTCCTAGAAATCTTAAAAGAGGGACTCTACGGACACACTCTTTAACAGTATTGCCATGTACGAAAGAGAGAAGACCTGACATTCACTATGGTATTTTGACGGGTACCTTTAACATGTACGACACTAAATTTGGTACGTTGCATTATTATATTGCAGACAATTAAGATTTAATGTTATTTTATGTTTTAAAAGAAAATAAGGTTGTAAATAACCCCTTCGCTATCCCGTGCATTAACATATAGGTCATTGCTATTGTCTTACTATTGTGTCTGAAAACCGGACAGTGAAAAAAAGAAAAAAATCTCGAATATTCTTTTAATCGCATAATATTTATTTCATTTCATTCAGCAAGAGCTTTAAAATTGCCGCAATAAATGCCTATTTATTTGAGACAGGTGTCAATCTAATATTGGTCTATGGTAAGGTTGTCACAAATATTGGAACACTGGTCGGAACGTTAATCGTTACTAAGTCATAATGTATAAAAGAATAATTAATAGCACCGACTTCTGAATGTGAAATTATTTTTTTTTTAGTTGGTTTTAAGTCGGGTTTTTCTTTTATGAAAGTAGTTTTTTTTTTCCTTTTGAGTGGACTAAGGAATATTACTAAACTCAATATAATATAACCTATGACCTATGTATTTATTGAAAAAAGAATCGTCATCACACTTAAAAAAAAAAAGAAAAAGCCTCCTTTATTGAAATCAGCTAAAAATTTGTTTAATCTTTTGGAAAATTTTGTCAATAAACATTTTGGTATATACTTATTATCCTGATATTATATATCTAATTAATTATTATTTAAGGCTTTATTTGTTTATTGAAGGCCACCAAGGTTTAGTTTAACTTAAAATCTGCGATCATTATCATTCTGAAATTTGAGAATGTTTCCATGTGCGTGGGTCATGACGCAGGTAACACCGCTGAACGAAAAGCTAGTGTATTGTAATTCAACTTTTTATGAGACATTCTAACTTGTTCCTATACAATGCATTTGTAGCCTCCTTTGTTGGTTGAGCTGGTTGCAAGTACACAGCATGGTCTGCAGTAGCCACGTACGATCAAGTGGACTATAAGTTCATTCGCCACTTCAGTTTTATAAGAATAAAATCTAAATTTTAGGCTTACTCGTCGTCATCGGTACAATCATCTATGACTGTTTCACAGATTTCTACTAACTTTCAAGTACCTATATTAGCACGTAAAAAGTATGTAAATATACGAATATATTTTATATCCTAAAATGCCACTAATTGTATACAGTGTTTTTGAATTTACTCATTGCCAAGGTGATACAATACTTCAAATTAAAACCATGATATGTAACGTGAAATATGACAGCCCTAGCATAGGAGCGCCCAAATTAGGTTTCTGCTTTGTGGGTTTGTGGCTGTCTATAGGATCTACGGGAGGTGTTCTGTTAGGTAGTAAAAATAGTAAAAAGCTGCGGTAATGATTATAATTACACAGAATTTATGCATATAGTAAAAGCAAATTTTATTTTAGTTTACGATACGATGAAATTACAGGGACTCGATCGAGAGGCAGACAGGCATTAACTATGAGCGTGATGGCATACTGTCTTGCATTTCATTATCATCCCAAGCAGTGGACAATTAAGCTCGTAGACAATCTTTTAGAAGCTGGAGATCAATGGTATGTTATTTAATAAAAATGTCCAATTTTAATCCCGACAAAAACTTGCAAATCCTAATGAGATGCTATTTATAGAATAGAATATATATAATACTGCCACAGATATACTTAAGTGCTAACACTAGCTCTCTCGCCTAATCTGTTCGTACCTCTATAACACATAATAATACCGGAGATGTGTTCGGAGACTTATCAGAGACAATCACAATATAATAATACAATAAAACCCCAAAAACCAAAAGTTTTTGCACAAATGTTACACTAGAATTCAAATCTTCATCATCATTATCATCATTTCAGCCATTCACAAGTTGACTGCGAATTAAACCAAAGTCTGAAGCGAATTTAAGGGACTGCGCTAAGATGGGCATATTTCTGTTTATTCCTGATAACAAATAAATAAATAATGCCTAAAAATGTATATCTTGTGTAAGCAAGATTAGATCACTATAACGTGATGGTTTATTTGTTCAGGTATTTACAATGCTTGGAAAAAGTACATGACCACTCATCGGTCCAGGGCATGTGTGAAGTGTTGCCTTTCGGGAAAAAACAAACATTGGTATTAAATGGAAAGCGAATGCAGGTGCTGCTTGGAGAGCCTGATATAGTTGGTTACACTATGTCCCTGGATCCCACTGTTTATAATTTGTGTAGAGGCTTAAAGGCGTTTTTCTCAGAATACCGCGCTGGTATACTACTTACCAGGCAAGTTTATTTTCATTGATTTTTAATACAGTTCCAATTCCTTCTTTGTTGTAGTAAGTTTCATTGAAACATTTATCGTCAGTGTTTGCGTGCCAAAATTAATGAAATGCGCATCACCTCAGTGTCAAACATTTTTTAAGAGCATTTCTTCTAGTTGAATTTCGCTACAGTTTGTTAGCCTTTATTCAAAATAATTTTTCGAGAAAATGCTTTTGAACTTTTTAAAAAATTTAAATTTAAAACAATTAACTTGCTATTCCCGTGGGCACTGCAAACCGTAAGAGGAACTAAGGGAAATTTCAGTATAATCGTATATTTTCGGATGAATGGTGCTTATAACGATTATGTATATTATACATGCCAGCTGTAATTTTTTTCCTTATGAAAAAGGCCCAAGTCCTATTATATATATATATATATATATATATATATATATATACCCTAGAAGCTTGTTGGGGAAGAAATATGTATATAGGCTGTCCCAGTAATGGTGGATAATCTGGTACGTACGTGGTCGGGCGGGGGGGAGGTTTGTGGTCATCACCGCCGCAGTTTAATGCCTAGATCGGATTTTTTTCTTTTAATGTGTTCCCTAATAATGATGTTTCTAAATTACCCTTAAAAGTTTTCAACTACTAGGGGTAGTATTTCACAAGACGGCACTAAATATTAGTTGAAATTTTTTACTTTATTTAACTGCTAAGTTTGAGCACCTGTGGTGAAAGAAAAACGTATGGGATCTGTGTGGCCACCCATTTAAAAAGTTTGCCTACATCACAAGGATTCTAAAACGTCACCACACCATGTATTTAATATCAATACTTACTGAGCTATAGCCGTTAATGAGTAAAAGTAGACATTTCATTACAAAATTACAAAATTTTTGGCACATAGTTTTTTTTAACACTGCATGTATTTATTAGGTAAGTACATTTGTCGCCCTTGAAAATTTTACTTTACACCTGCTCGCCTTGTTTGGACGAATTCTAAGCTGTGTGAGCGAGACAAACGGTGCTTAGGATTAATGTGAGTAAAATGGATCGACAGATTCTCCATTGTATGAATTCGTGTTTGGAATTCGTGTTTGGTTATTGTTAAATATGGTTAGCGCGACCTTCTCGACATCGCATGTGCTCTATTATTTCGGACTCTTGATTACAAAATACTATTTCGCATTCTAATGAACTGCCTGGAGGCCACCTCCCCCCCGCCCAAACACGTACTTACCAGATTATCCACCATTATTGGGACATCCTGTACATAAATAAATAGTATCTAATTTTCAACTTGGAAGGGACTTATTTTAGGGGTGGCCAGTTATAAATGACTGATGATAGTGATATTAACGAAAATGTGTTTGTTTCGTTAGTGCGTGCAGAGATGAAACCCTTACATTAATAAACCTGTTCCAAGAGATTATTGATTGTTGAATCATGAATAATATTATAAATTTCTTGTTATTAATAGAGTTCTGAAGGTAATAATATGGAAGGACAACATATGCTATTATATTTTCGATCCCGCTGGAAGAGATTCGCGAGCATATTCGAATTTTACAAACGGCTGCGCCGCTTTAATAAATGTTAAAGACGTGGACTCCGTCGCTGAAGTAGTTTTAGCTCGGAGCGTTGTAGAAGATCAGAAGTTCGTTTTAGCGCCCGTTAAAGTCCTTAAAATGGTGGATGAGAAAGCTGATGAAGATTTTGAATCCGATAAAGAACTAACACAAGCGGAAAAGGCAATGATGAGTTATAGAATCCTCAATGAAAATTGTGCTCTTGTTAACGCAAATATGCATTTAGGGGATAGATGTTTTGAAGACGCAAAATACCGCCAGGCTTTACCAATCGCTATAGTTGCAATGACTTATGCGAAAATCTCTCCTCCTAATACGTGGTTCACGAAAACTCTGGATAAAATTTTACGTTTAGGCAATAAGCTTTACGTTGACTGTGTCCACCCCAAGGTGATGATTGACATGACGATAGATAATATTCCCAACGAAATAATGATTGGCCCATATGTTTGCGAAATCATAATCTACAGAGAAAGAGTAAAAGGGCAACTATTCACGACTAAAGAGTGCTTCTTCAACATTAAGACTGGTTTAGAAGATTTCTTCAATCGCGAATACAGCAGTGGTATTCTTGAATTCAATAACTATTCGCTAGCAGTGTGGAGACAAAAAGAAATGTATTACTTATTTGACCCTTATCCGCGAACAAATGATGGCATGAGATCTACAACCGTTGGTAAGGCTTGTTGCTGGATGCTTTTAAACCCCGAGGCGATGGCGTCAGTTTTTACGAAGAATTGGGACTACTTGCCAGCCACTACTCCGTTCCACATACACGCATTTAAAGTATTGAAGTTGAAAAAAAGAGAACCGAAGGTACTTTGAAATATTTCTTTCTTTTTTTTTTAATAAAATAAAGATAGCTCAATCCTAGAGATGACAAAACGAAATTAGGTACCGTTAAAATACATTTGATTTTGATCTGGTTTAATTAATGTTGTGTGTGTTTGCGTGTTAATGTGTCATAGTTCTGACTATCGCCATTCTATATTTGTAGAATTTCGGTATATTTTCAGAAACAAATAGTTTGTACTCTAAGTGACGAACAATTACCTGGCGTTAAAAGGAAAAGGGGTGAAATTTTAACTAATCGAGCTCATGGTGATGGCAAGGAGGTCTTTCATGATATCTTACCTGCGGAAACTTTAAATGAAAATCCAATTAATGTAAGTAATTTATATAATTTAAGGACTCGAATGATATCGCTCTGCCGGCATATGTTTATTAGGTTTTCGTAATCTATGTGATCATAATCTTTCAATAACATCATAAGAGTAGAAAATAGGGTTGATGCTTGTGTATGTACTTATCTACATAAAAATAAATCGGAATATAAAGTTTCCCAGCGTATGCAAGACTTCTATTCTAATTTTTAAAACATAATACTTAATGCGAGGAAAATAATGATTATAGTTGAATCAAAATTAGCAAAACAGATATATTGAGCACAAGGTAAAGCACTATATCAAGTTTTAAATAGCAAATTTCAAATTAACATTACTTTTTCAATTCTTAAGATGGTGCTATTAGGGTTACAACATAAAAATATCGATAGTAATATTGATATTTATATCGATGGTATACGAGTAATAAAATGAAAGAAAATTATAGTAAATGACAACATTTACTAAAAAACCATCCGTTTATACGCTATGAAGAAAACGTACAAAAACACTATGAAGTTAAATCTTATAAAGTCAAGACGAATTTTTTAAAAGCGACAGTAGCCTAATGTTAAGGTTAATGATACAGATCGCGAAATTCGTGAGCTTGAAACCGCCGTTCAACTACTGTTGTGTACCACTCCTAGTACAAAAATTTAAAGTTCAAGTGGTTAAAGGGAGTATTAGTGGTTTTAACAGCACTAGGTACCAAGTAGAATTTTTTTAAAACCAAGTGGTAAAATAAAAATAAAATTGTAGAACCGACTTCAATATAAATTATTAAGGACAACTTTTTTATAGGTTGGGTGACAAACGAGCACACAGTCCACCTGATGGTAAGTGGTTGCTGTGGCCCATAGACATCTACATCTATCCTCGTTTGCGAATCAAAATGCAGATGCGTTGTAACCCGTGAGGACTAAGATGGAATGCCTCATTTCCAGTAAAAAAGGGTCTCCGGTCACTCACCATACGAAACACAGCAGTGTTAAGCTGCTATTTTACGCTGGTATTCTGGGAGAGCGTGGACCTTCCCCGGTCGAGCCGACCCATTCGTGCTACAACTATACTACTAATATAGCTACAGCATGGCTCTACCAAGTGCAAAACGTGACTCAAAAACTACTGATAGACGTTGATCAAATTTATATGGGACCACATGAGAAGCACCAACTTTCAAATAAAAACGAACCGTCAAAATCGGTTCACCTTGAAAAAAGTTATGAGGTAATACAATTAAAAAAAATACAGTCGAATTGAGTACCTCCTCCTTTTTTACGTCGGTTAAAAAAATTAAAAGCTCCATTTTCTTCTTCTTTAAAATAGTTCCACAATTTGCATTTCGTTAACATCGTTTGTATTTTTTATTTATTTGAGTGAAGTAAAATATAAATATCAATAATTGGTGTTTTTTGATGTTTAATATCGATTAAGGAGTTTGGTTTAAATCGATAATAATATTGACATTGTTAGGAAACTTAGGTGCTATGATCCTCGGATAACCCCAAATAATGTTATCTGTGAAAGTATTTTTAAAACAAATGTGGAAATATGGAATGTTTTTCCATGGCCTAATAAAATACAGAATAATTATTTTCATCGAATCGCTTTTGTATAGTGATAGAATATTTATATACCTAAATTACCTAGTTTCAGCAGCCTCGTATAGACGAAGAGCAAATGGGAGATATTGTATCCTTAGTTGATAGCATACAAGACGATTATCTTCCTCCAATACCACTACGATATAAAAAGCCAGAACCTGCGACCGAAGAATTAAAAATTGGTATGCAGCAAAGAGATTATTATATATAACTAAAGTTACAGCCTATATATTTTCACTCCTGGAACCAAAAACCACAAACCTCCTATCATTTATGAGGGGTTTTTAGTGCAAAGGAAATGTCCGCCGCGCTGTCCTTATATGTATTGGCGCACTTTATATGTCTTCGATTATTTTTTAATTTCTTAGATATGCAGCTTCCCTCTCGAGGTTTTCCTTCACAGTCGTGCAAGTGATAAATCACCACTAAAAATTACAATTGACAATTTCAATGGTACGAACCCGGGTTGCTTGCGTACTGTGAAAGATGCGGTAAACGTTTAACCCCTGAGCTACCACGGCGCTAAATTTGTACATCAAATTTATTAATTATTTTTTTTATAGCAGAGGGGGCAAACGACCGTGCGGCCCACCTGAAGGTAAGTGACTACCGCCGCCCATGAAAAACTGCAACACCAGGGGAATTTCAGATGAGTTGCCGGCCTTTTAAAATGAGTAGGCTCTTTTCTTGAAGGCTCTTAAGTCGTATCGGTCCGGAAAAACGGCTGATGGTAATCAATTCCACAAGGTAGTTGTGCGAGGGAGAAAACTTCTTCTAAATCGCACACCACAGTCCACCTGATGGTAAGTGAATGCTAAGGCTATATATATATATATTATATATATATATATATATATATATATATATATATATATATATATATATATATATATATATATATTCCTCGATAAAGATTCATATCGTTGGTACCACTGAGGACTAAGATGGAATGCCTTGTTTCCAGTAAAAAAGGGTCTCCGGTTCTCTACACTCATCATACGAAACACAGTAGTATTAAGCTGCTATATGGTCCTTTTTTGTTATTATTCCACCAACAGATTTAGAATAGTTTTCATAAAAATAGAAATAAGCTAACGCTTTAATAGGTATTGTTCTTGGTACGCAGTAAACCTGGATTCGCCGACGGTGTCAGTGACACAGGTGGTGCCACCGTGGCCGGCGCCGCGAGACAAAAGCCGGGAGCCGCCCGAGCCCGATCCCGACCCCGAGCCAACTCCGCCGCCTACGCCGCCCACTATGCCGGTATCTCTATTGTCTTATGTTCCCCTGGTACATTGCAACTATAGCACAATATACGTTTAAAAATTTTCACGAATTTCACACAAAATCATCAGTGACTTTAGTGGTACCGTTACCATTACAGCCTATTAAAAGTCCACTGCTGAACATAGGCCTCCCCATAGATTGCTTCTTAGTGGGGATATATGCCATAGTTGCCACGCTTGGCAAGCGGGTTGGCAACCGCATTTCTTTTATTCGTTATTAGGAAGACACTGCTGCCCTTTTCCTCGTTTGATTCCTTCTGTCGCTTCTTACGAGACCCACGGGCTGATATGGGGTAGTGTATATTCTTACACTTGTAAGAATTGACATTTTCTAAGTAAGTAGTTAAGATTTTAGTTAAACATTAAACGCGTATTTTATTTCGTATTTTATGAGATTCTTATTTTTATTTCACAATCTATCAGATTCCACTGGTTTTAAATGGGTTTATAACCTCCCAAATTGAAAAAAAAAAAAATATTGAGTATATTACTAAAAACCTATATTTTTTGGTATTGAAACACGTAAAGAAAAACGCTCATTCGTTATGTTTATGTGAATCATTGTCATGCCACTAATTTTTTTTAATAATAAAAAATAATCTTTCATTTCAGCCACCGGAGGGAGGAGAAGAGGTATGTGAGAATTTAATAATGGCGCCTTATTGTGTGTACATACATTAATAAATAAAAAATGACATACTATTTTATATAGTAATCAGTTCCAGGAAAATATAAGCAATGAACTGTAATAATTTCAAAAGCTACTTAGTTTATAATAATACTAGCTGTGCCCCGCGGTTTCACCCGCGTCATCACGTGTCCGAGTATAGTTCAAGCATTTTATATAACGGTTTAAGAGTCGTTCGCGCGCCCAGTCAAGTATTGATTTATTTTAATTTTACATTATCTCCAAATAACATGGTGTAAAGAACAAAGTTTATCTTCATGAAATTGTCTTGATGATGGAAGTAACTTTCCTTCGTAAGGATAAATAGGCCATGCCTAATAATAACGCTCATAAATCACTTTTAAATTTTCATTATTTTTTTGTCACAAAATACCAAATTATGGCTTATGTATAAGAAATAGACATATGGTATCGGGGACTTTTTTTAGACGGAGTTAAGGTCTATATTTTTCTACAGCATTGTATTTACGTATCCCTAACGATAACACCAGCGTACGCGGATAAATCATTTCGGGAGTGCTTTTTCTTCTGACTTGCTTAACAAATATCCATATTTAAGGCTAGCTGAGTAATACTCGTATAGCTTAATGCTAGATAGCCTATACTATTCCAGATGAATCTATTTATAATATACAAAAAGAATTTTTCAAATCGGACTGGTAGTTCCAGAGATTAGCGCGTTTAAACAAACAAAAAAACAAAAAACTTTTCCGCTTTATTATATTAGTATAGATTATGTACTTAAATTAATTTTACAGTTTTATAATACTAGCTTAACTTTGTATAAGATCACCAATTTTATATTTATATTTTAATAAACTCAAAGGAACAAGAGGAAGAATCTGAGGAAGAAGAAGATGAAGAGGCAGCTACTAAGAGAAGAGAAGAGAAGGAAAGAAAGAAGGCAGAAGAAGAAGAGGCGAGAAGAAAAGCAGAAGAACTACCACCACCACTACCGCCACCTCCACCATCACCACAGCCCGAGCCAGAAGTTCCGGTATTGTATTATATATAACATATATATTTTTTCCTTTTATAGTATTATTAACTACAATTATTTCAGTACAACGACCACTGTAATTCACACATTCATTATTAACAATGCCATCCCATGTATCATCCCTTTGGTGTCGTAACAGGCGACAGGGGGAAACATACCAGGAGATAGCCAGCAGCGTCTTCCTAATAACTACTAAAAATAAAAAAACTGCCATTGCCAACCCACTTGCCAAGCCTGGCAACTATTGCAAATATTACCCCTATGTGCAAATCTATGGGGGAGACTTATGTATCAGCAGTGGATTTCAACAGGCTGTAACGGAACGGAACGGATTCTTAGCCGACTTGAGAAAAAGGAAGATGTTCCCAATTTGATGTATGTTTTCTATGTAGGTATGATACACGATATCTTCGTTAATGGTGAACCGATTTGTGTGATTCTTTTTTTATTAAATAAGTGTGTACTCTTAGGTCATATAATGTATCTAAGGTTATATATCTATAGGTTTTAGTGGTAGTTCCAAATATATTTGAAGAAAAAATTCGACTTGGCTGACAAAAGTAAATTTTTCACCATTTTAATTTACTAAAGCAAGCATATGGCATCGGCACATGAGTAAAGAAACCTTACCGTATAGAGGCAAAGCTTCATACAATCGCGCTGTGATAGGTACACTACTACAAGCCTGAGGCGCGTGAGCACTGCTTTAAACCGGCTCGGCCAGTGCTCAAATTCAGGGTTGTGTAAAAATAAATAAGTGTCAAATTTTGGTTTATAAAGAATAATTCGTATCAAATTAAATATAAAAAAGTGTTAATATGGTTGACTAATACCTACGTAGATTTAAATCTTATCGAGGTTACCGCAAAAGTTACCGCTGATTTTGTAAATAAAATTAATAATTTGTTTGATTACTTACACTCAAGTACACTGCGATCTCCTAATAAATGTAAAAAAAAACTTTTCGATGCTATAGTTATGAAATTGAGTTTTTAGAAGAAATGCTAACATTTTTCAAGAACTAAAAGTAAATAAGAAGTAATAGGCAGAAAGGCGTTACAAATACCATGAATTTCATTCTCTGATTTCAAGTGTCTATAAAATCTTTAATAAAACTTCACGAAGAATTAAAAAATCAGTAGAAATTTAATTTTAATATTTACGGCACGTCTCGATCAAGGTTGTCTCAAAAATTTCTTTTTAAAAGTCAGACAGGCGGGTGGCAACTGCCAGGAACCAACATGTGGACTAGTTAATATTGCCTTCAATAACATGTTTATAACCAATATCTTAGGGAAAGTTCAAAGTACTAATTGTGAATACGATATTTTAATACACCATCACCGCAATCTGGCAATGTTACTGCCTCTGTGTTAACAGTAGGAACAAATGATTATCTATTTGATTTTCAGAAAAAAATGGTTAAGTCATTGTGTCGAGATATTTGTATAGAAAATGTCTCGAACACCACAAATATGAGAAAATAAAACCGTTAATAGATCTGAACAACCTATAAATATGGGAGAAGATTATTTTTTCAGCTATTACAAGGATTTTAATAAAGACGGTGTTCAGTCGAGTTTTTTAATAATACTTTCTGACAATTTTATCGCGTTTGTTTGATTTTGCTTGAGCAAAAATTTCGCGAATATTTTGACCTCGAAAGAAACATTGTAAATATTGGTAGTGAAATATTAAAACGTTGCAAGAGTTTATATTTGTTATGAAATGCGAGTGCTTTCCAAAATATTATTTAAAAAAACTTTATATTAAATATTAGAGCTTACCAATTAATTAAAAGCCAAAAGAAATCGTTGAAGAACAATAATTTAAAAGTAACATATTTAGAATACATTGTTTGTAAAAAATATTATGTCTTAAGTATCTATTAAAATGCTGATAAACGTTTTGTTTATTTAATTTTATCCTCCTGTGCCAACCCTACCAAAACAGGTAAAAATTTTGACAGCTCCTTAGAATCTTTGTCTCGGTACAGTTTCTTTACTCATGTGGCATCGGAACCACTACGAGCCCTCTCATATTCATCCTTCACCGCCGAGTAAGTGTATATCAGCCACTCTGATTACGGCTTTAACGATTTTAGTTGTTCCTTGCGTTTTCTATTAAATTGGATTAAGAGTTCCGGCATCTCAACTACTTAAGTATATTCTTTTGAATTTCAGCTCGCGCCAATACAGATTGTAGAAGACGAGGTTCAAACATTTGAACCAGTCGTCGTAGACCGTCGGATTCTTCTCACGGAGGATGCTCGTAACCGCTCGAAATTGCGTCAGACTAGAAGAAAACTAACTCCACCGTTAGATGAAATACCTCTAGAAGTGACCCCGTCTGAGGAACTCGCGAAACCGAGCAACTTTAAAGATCTACCTGACAGCTCACAGATTATTAGGGGCTCCTCCGCCATAAATGATGCAGATGCTAATGATGTCCTGCCCTTCGCGGCGATAATGGCCATCGTCACTTCATACAAATATGCCATTAACACGTGGACCGGTGGATTGGTGAATTTCGTTTTAGATACGGCCAAGAAACTGCACCAGAACAAAGAGGAAAAGTTTCAGCTCGCCCCTGTTCATATTATACCGAAAATAACGATAGGACGTCAGGTAAAAAAATTTTGCGTTCATCTTGTACTATTGGTTGTATTCTGGTTGGTCATATGATGTTGATGTTTTCCCAGTTTCTGTTATCGCAAAGACAGGTTTTACCCTGTGGTATCGGAGTAAGATGATCTATCACCCCATTTCGTGACGTAGGCATCGAAAGAAGCCACTATGGGATAAACTTTTTACCACTTTCTAACTGGTAGAGCCATGCTGCAGCTATATTATGGTTGTAGCACTAATGGGTTGGCTCAACCGGTGTGGGGCCACGCTCTCATAGAATACCAGCGTAAAATAGCAGCTTAACACTGCTGTGTTTCGTATGGTGAGTGTAGAGAACCGGAGACCCTTTCTACTGGATACAAGGTATTTATTATATACATCTTAGTCCTCAGAGGTGACAACGTATCTGCATTTTGATTCTTAATTGAAGAAAAATGTAAGTAGGCGTTTATGGGCCACAGCATTCATTTACCATCAGGTGGACTGTGTGCTCGTTTGTCACCCGTATTCTAATAAAAAAAAAATAAAAAAGATCTTATAGGAAGTGATAAATGGCGGTATAACGTTCTAAATTCGCCGACGAGAAACAACGTTAAAGGTGCCAGATGTCTGCTACTGCGATCGTCGATTCTTCCTGCCAAGCGAGAAGACTATGGCAAATCCTCTCTGCAAAGAGAGAGGCCCAGGTCCAGCTGTGAACCTTTACGGGCTAATGACGAAGATGAGACAGTGTCAAAGAAACAGACAAACAGACATTCACAACACATCCAGACCTGAAAATCAATGCTTCGTGTTTTTGCGAAAATCATAATTGCGGATCGCTTGTTATTTAATACTAGCTCCTCCCCGCGACTTCGCCTGCGTGAAATTTATTACGATTGGATTTTATGCGTGTTAATTTTTTTGCACGAATTCTAATTCCTTTTCTAAAATAGACAAAAGTACTCCTTATAACGTTAGCCATCTGTCAGTTAAAGTCCTGTGGAAATCGGTCCAGCCGTTTCGGAGATCAGCCGGAACAAACAGAAAGACAGCCGGTCAGACAGACAGACAAAAATGTTTAAAATTGTGTTTTTGTTATAAGTACCTTTTGTAGTAAGTATTTTCATATGAAGAACGAAGCCAAAGTTGAAGTATACGAGTACATGTCTAAGCGATCCATAATTATCTATACAAATACAAATATATAAAATTAAAGTGTCTACTTGTAATGTCAAAATAACAGATTTTTACTAAATGCATATGAAAGTATATACCTTACTTATAACAAAAAACAATTTTAAAATGTTTGTCTGTTTGTCTTTCTTTCTGTCTGTCTGTCCATCCGTTTGTTCCGGCTAATCTCCAAAACTTTTGTATCGACTTCGACGGCACTTTCACTGGCAGATAGGCGATGTTATAAGGAGTAACCATGAAATCCAATCGTAATAAATAACAAGCGGGCGAAGTAGCGGGGAATAGTTAGTGTGAGAATAAATGGAATTTACCCATTGACTAAAGTTTATTCGTAGCGGAATCTATATTAAGTATAGTTGTGGACTAATTCTCCAGTTACGATGCGATAACAAAAACAAAATAGGGAGTAGGATTTGTCGCAAACGATTCGCTTAGCAGCCAGATTAGCGACTTATTATATGTATAATAGTTGCATTATACAGGTTTATTTTGCAACAACCGACCGAATTTCCAGAGAAGGTTAAAAATAAGTAATATAGGCAAATGGTGAAGAAAAATTAATTAAAAAAATCTCAAACATTCTGTCCTTTTTATCTTTTAAATTCAAAATGCATGGTATACAGCGCACGCACACGTTCGGAAGGGTCGATCGGTAGGCAAAAACGTTGTTGGCCAAAATCACATAGAATTTAGGATAATTTCAAATGAAAGTAGAAGCCTTATTACTCGTATTTTCAAAAACTGCAATAACGGTATATCATTAGTTATATATTTGGACTTAAGTTTAAAATTTGGCTACTCTTTGAAAAATAACACTGTATATACAATAAGCAATCTGCCCCGGCTTTGCACGGGTTATCTCGACAACGACGCCATCTTTCGGCTAAAATTGTGAATCTAAACCATCCAGGCACCCATTCATGCACTCACAAAAAATTCATCACAGTCTGTACAGCCGTTTTTGAGTTTTAGCGAGACTAACGGACAGCAATTTATTTAAATATATATATATATAGAGAGAGAGAGATATTTACTTCAGTACAAATGGGTTGGTTTGACTAGAGATGGTCTACGCTCTTACAGAATACAGGCGTAAACTAACAACATACCTACCTTTTTCTATTTTTTTATCGTTGGGAAATCCTAATGGATACCTTCTGCTGCGGGGGCAACAGAAAAGTTTTACCCGACTGCTACTACACGGTGGTCACCATCAGCGTATATGAGGGGTCCTGGGATCTCCGTTCAGAAGCAACCGGGGCCCCTGTCTCGTTTTGCTTTATCAAAGCACGTCGCAAGCTCCCTCTCAGTGCTATCACGGTGCTCGAGACCACTTCCGAGTTACCGTCCTCCTCAGGTGTTACATTACTAGACGTTCGGGGCCCCCGCTCGAGCGTTCCTCCGAGCGCCCGTAACCCCCAAGGACCCGTTTCTGGTAGGGGAACACCATCATCAAGGGGAGGGCTGTGACGAACGCCTCGGCGAAGTCGTCTCCGAGCGGGATCTGTCCTCTCCCTACACCACTCAGCAGTATCCTTCGGACCATAACGGATTTACAGAAGGTTACTACGGCCCTCCACGCCGAGAACCTGCTCAGCATCGCCGACACAACTGCTAGCAGGGCGAGGTTCTTACCGATCCGGCTTACCAGGATCATTTGCTCCCGTTCCCACGCTGGACATGTTGCCAGCATATGGGATGCGGAGTCCTGGTCCTGCCTACCGCAGTGGAAACAGTACGCTGTCGCTTCGCGTCCGATCTTACACAAATAATCACCGAAGCACCCGTGCCCGGTCATTATCTGTGTGAGTTTCTAGGTGAGTCTTCCTGTTCGTCGATGCATCCAGGCTTCGAAGTGCAGCCGGATTGCTTCAACAACGCGTACGAGCGCATCACGTTGCGAATTCGTTAAGTCGTGCCTAACGCTTAACTTCTTCAAACACCTCATCTGGCTCACTCCCACCGCTCTCGCATCCATGTCCACCAGTATGTCCAGAAGTTGAAAGCTAGCTAGGACTGTCGCCACTTCAAAGGATATCGTGCGGTATCCTCGCACGATCCGTATGGCCATCCTAAGCTGCACACTGTAATTTTAGTTCTACAGCGTCAAATGGCCAGCCTTTTCGCCCACACAGGCATCCCGTACAAGACTACGGATCGTATCATTTCTGCATAGAGGCGACGCACTTCTTCGCTTGGTCCCCCTAGATTGGGTAGTAGTCTATGCATAGCTACCCTTTCAATCCGGGGAACTAGGCGCTCGAAGTGTTCTTCGAAGCCCCATCGATTGTTCAAGTGAATGCCTAGGTACTTCCCCACTCTGAATTCAGACCCACCCACGCGGACGCACGAGTCAGGTGGTTCCCTGCCGCGTCGTAATTTATGGAACCATAGGGCCTCAGTTTTGTATCAACTCATATTTAACTCTTTATTTTTATTTTTTTATTTTTGTGAATATCTGGTTTATTTATTTTTAATCTAATTAATATAAAATATAACTAATAGTACAAAAAGAAACATTAACCTTTACATTTTTCGAACAAATTAACTTCACCGCTATGAGATCTGTCAAATATTATACTTACCTCATTTTTAAGCTGTGCCGCCTGGTGGCAAAAAAAGTCGCGGATGCCTAAAGTAATGATAATATATAACGATGAATAAAGTATCCTCACGCTAGTAATGCTTTTAAACTTATGTGTATCTCATAATTTCAGACATATCGCGCGGACATCGACGTGGTTGGACAAGGTGCCACGTGGCAACTTGAAAATGTTATATCACAAAAGTTATTTGATAAATATGATAGAGGAATGATCACCACTCCCTCATACAGTTGTGCTGTTTTCAAAAGAAACGATCTCTATTATTTGTTTGATGGGAGTCCTTGCAATCCAATGGGTGTTAGGGATGAGAAGAACAAGGGAAAAGCGTGCTTATTGCGATTTAAGACGTTACATGATTTAGTTATCAGGTAAATAATTTAGAAATAAAAATGTATAATTTGTTTTTATAGTATAGGGTGACAAACGAGCACACATTCCACCTGATGGTAAGTTGTTGGTGTGACCCACAGACATCTACATCTATCCTCAATAAAGAATCAAAATGCAGATGCGTAGTCTCCCGTGAGGACTAAGATGGAATGTTTCTTTTCCAGTAAAAATGATCTCTGGTTCTCTACACTCACTATACGAAACGCAGCAGTGTTGGCTGCTATTTTACGCTGGTATTTTGTGAGAGCGTGGTCTCCTTCCCCGGTCGAGCTGACCCATTCGTGCTACAACTAAACTACTAATATAGCTGCAGCACGTATAAATATAAGATTGATAAAATAGAAGATTATATCCAAAACATAACTTGAATTTTTATTTTTACTTTAACTTCTAATACAACACAATGCTTTCAAACGAAACTTAGCTGACTTAGTCCAAACAGTTATAATAGTGTTTTAAAGTCGCCGCCAAAATATTTTTATAACTTTATATGTTTAGTAATTTTATCATGAGCGGATACGACAAATACAGCTGTACATATCCTATAGGCGGTTATATATGAGGGCTTCTAAACGAGCAATTTTACTGCAAAGTCATATCAAAATGCGTCATGTGGTAGTGGCGACAACAATTTATTACCCATTGCAACACGCAGGGGTCATAAAAGAGCGACTTGGGTTATGCTAGATATAAATCTTAAATCAACAGGGCGCAATAACCAGGATTGCCAGATCTCATTAATCCCGATGGAATTAATTCACGTGTAAAGCAGTTTCAAAAATGTGTTGTCCTTATAATGCGTTCGCTATACTTACTATTTAAGACACAAAATATTTCTTGTGCATAGTGGTAGTCGGTAAATATGCGCTATAGTTTGATATTATCCCTAGAATGATTTCGAATCATATTTCGCTGTGTATTTTTTTAATAAAATTAAAATAAAAAACTTATCTAATTTTTTTTTAATAATACTGTTTTATTTTTTTTAGATTGCTTTATAATAAAGACGGATTAAGAGATGATCAACAATTTATTCTGAGCAGAATTTTAGTAAGGCGGCTTTTGGCTGAACCGAGATTTAAATTGCCAGAAGACTACGATTATTCTACTGGTCAGCCGCAATCCAAGAAATCGAAACCGTCGATTGTTTCCAATACAAAGGAATCAGATAAGAAAAGTTCAATTGACACTTCTGAAATAAAGAGCGAAACAGTGATTGGCTATCAACAAGTCGACGGTCTGTATAGAATTGAAGGAACAACAGGACTTAAAGACAGAAATACTAATTCCGAAGTAAAAGTTTGCCATTTCGTTTGTTTGATTGCGATGCTAATGGCAACGATGCACCCAATAAGAACTTGGGATCACTTTATGGTTGATATGTGCCTTGAAAAAGGTTTAGAAATTTTTGATAAAGCTACTAATCTAAGCGTCTGCGAAAAGAGAGTTATTAAAAATATCATTCTAGACGGAAAATTGATTAATGTTAATATTAAGAAAATTCTTGTTATTAATGAGAATCAAGAGAAGCGACTTGAACAATATTTGAAAGCTGTATTGGGGCGGCTTCGCTATGTCATTATTAGGTTCCCACAATGTAGTATGCTAATATGTCAAACAGAAGGTTATTATCATCTTTTCGATCCATATCCACCGCCAGCTGGGGAACCTGTGGAACCGGGTATCGAAAATGAAGATGACGAAACTGTCAAAGGTAAACAAAAGAAGAAACCAAGGTCTGTGGCAACATGGACGCTATATCGTACATTAGAGGCCATAAACCGTAGAATAAAGAAAGTTATTTCAGGGAAAGCTGTTGATCAGCCCGAATTTTATACATTTGAGTTGACATCGGTGAAAACCGCGCCGAAACATTCGGCCCTAAATTACCGTCTAAGCCCTCTTTTCAAGCCTGATAGGAATCCAAATTCCCCATATTTGAAACGAAAAAAATCGCGTCCTATCGTTGATGAGAAAATGTACTGGTTAAACATTGAAACCATTCCATGGTCACGCATGAATCCCACAAATGATTTGGGATTTGAAAGAAAGACTCCGAAGTCTGTGTGGAACGATTGGGACATCGAGTTTCCAGGTGATCTCTATTCGCTTTGGGGAACAATCCATCCTTTGGATCAAAGATTCGAAAAACTCCATCGAGGGAAACAATATTTGGCTACATGTGCCGTGGCTATTTTCTTGACTCAAGTATGTAATTTCAGTGCTTGGACTAGCAGCCTTCTCAACGGCATAGTAACTGCTGGCGATAGATATCACGCAAAAACTGTTGCCAAAGTTGAGAATAACGTTAATTACGAAATTACTATGAATGACTTGGATACAAAATTCGATGAAATGTTTCCGTATTCTTTTACCGTTAAATTCGAAAACGTCATCTTCGGGTCTGTCTACAATACATATCCTGACCGTTTTAATTTAAGTAAAGCGTTGCAATACTTCTTCGAAAATAATAAGCTTGGAATATTAATTAGCCCTACGAAAAATTTGGCATTTGGAATAGTCGGCGATTCATATTTTATGTTCGATTGCCAAAGCTATGGTACACCGATATTTTCACCAGGACAAGGAGCATCGTATATTCTTAAATGTGAAAGTCTTAACAGGTTAATTTATTGTTTGACTGTAACATTGAATATAAGACGACATGGCCAACAGTTTCATTTATATAGTCTGGATGTGGGCGTAGCTGAGAAGGCAAAATAGAATGTATTTATATACACTGATTTCTTTTATTCATGAAACTCGTATGTGTAAAATCTGCAAATTGAAATGTTTCTATTTTATTAAGAAAATCATACATAATTAAAATATGTACTATATCTTTGACTTTTCTTCATTAAAAACGTTTACTTATTAGGGGAAGGAGGCATGACGGAGTCCTTAACGTTTGGAGTCTAATAAATCCGCACATCTTTAAATATTTTGAATATCTATTTATTTATAATTACTCTTACATAATCGATCTTTGGAAATAAGGAACTAAAGAAACTTTACAATCAATCAATCAATCATTTTTTAATTCAGCATGGGTATTACAGGATGTCACATACAAAATTATTATTGGGTACAGCTATGTTTCACCTTAGAGATATATGAACATATAATTGAAGTAATTTTTAATTTTGGCATCTATACATAATATAATAAATCTGTAGAAAAGTCGTGTCTGTAATTCTAATATATTCTTTAAAAAACAAGTCCAGGGGACTAATAAAGGATTCTGAAGCCAAATTAGTGGTTTTTAGAATTTTTGTTTGCCTGTCTGTCTGTCTGTGTATTCCGAATTCACGCAAAAACTACTGAACCGATTTACATGAAATTTTGTAAATAGGTGGTGAGTAGCTTGCTACATATATATTTATCTATGGTGGTGAGTAACCCGGGGCAACTTACAGGCTATTTTTATCCGATTACAGAACTTGAAAAAAGGAAGGTTATGTATTCTATTTCCTTTAGATGTTAATTTTCTATTATATCTTATTTATAGGTGGGATGACGGGTGTTTTTCAAATAAAACCATATTTGTAAGTAAAGTTTAAAATATAGTTATAATCTTGGTAAAATAATTTGAAACTACACCGATTTGGTATTCAAATCAGCGCCATCTATTATCAAATGGAAAAAGTAGTAAATTTTGCCTTCTGTTACTAATAAATGGATTTTTTTTTATAGGATAGGGTGACAAACGAGCACACATTCCACCTGATGGTAAGTGGTTGTTGTGGCCCATAGACATCTACATTTATCCTCGTTTGCGAATGAAAATGCAGATGCGTTGTCACCCGTGAGGACTAAGATAAGATGGAATGTCTCTTTTACAGTAAAAAGGGTCTCGGGTTCTCTACACTCACCGTACGAAACACAGCAGTGTTAAGCTGCTATTTTACGCTGTATTCTGTGAGAGCGTGGTCCTTCTCCGGTCGAGCCGACTAATTCGTGCTACAACTATACTACTAATATAGCTGCTGCATGGCTCTACCACGTACAAAATAATATAAATAACTTATATTTATATGATTAAATGATAAGATTTTTAAAATTATTAAAAAAATCTAACGTTTAGTTTTTTAGTATTTTTGTTATTTTATTTTAAAAGTGTAATAATTTCAATAGATAATAGCGACGTCTATCAAAAATATGAAAATTGATATAGTATTTATTTCCATTATTAATATATATGTAAAGTGATTAAAACTGGTCTGTCTGCAATTGTTGCAAAATTTTCATTATCATTATAGTTTTATTAAAGAAATTTTTATGTATGTCGTGGCCAGATCGTAGAATTGATCATATATCATGAAGTAGTCTATCATTTCGTAAAATGGTGTGGTCATTTCATGACATTTAACACCATTTGTTGACCATGTCATGATATAGTACCTCGTATATATATATATACACGGCAGAGTCAGAATTTTATATTTACGAAAGTACGGTTCACATTAATCATCCTCATTTAGACCGAACATTGATCTCACGCACTTTTTTGCGCTTTGAGGACACTTTTTTACACTCATAGAAAAAGAAAAATACCGATTTTGTCACAAAAGTCCAACACCCCATCTTTCCCCCTAGGTAGGGTAAGACGGGATATCCTATTGAGCAAGAATGAGTATGGGAGACATATTCTATTTTTGGTTGCAAAACTCGCAAGAAAATACTGCGTCGTCGTCCTCGTCATCTATCCCAGCATTCCCAGCACAGCTACAGTGTGCCCAATTCCCACAGAGAGAATACGATAAAAATACCGTGTCAAGATGTTCGTTCACGCTAATCTCCGAAACCGCTCAACCGTTTTTAATTAAATTTTTTAAATGTGCATTGTTTATAATAATAGGTCGGGGAAAAAAGCTTCTTCTTATTTTGTTTGTATAAAATTGAAGTAAAATTTCATTGGTTGTATACTGTTTGTATCTGGCTGGTTTTTAAAAAAATTCGATACATTCTGAAGTAATGGAATGAAGTTACTTATCGCACGGTACGTATTTGGCGGATGGGCTAGGCGAGAAAAGATTTTTCCGTGACGTTTCTCTCGCACTTTTTCTTATCTTGCCATGAAAGAAATATTATTTTAAATGACGCTTCATATTACTAGACGCTAGTAATTCATTTATTTGTATTTGTTAATCAATAATATAGTACGTTTATCTATAATAATATACAACGCAAGGAACTTCGTTCCAACCGAGTATTCCACGACACTCACGAATGTTTTTGTTTCTATACGGTTTGGGTTGCTATAAAAATATTTCTATGCAACGATAAGCCCGCTATACAATATAGCGGGCATATCGTTGCATAGAAATATTCTACCAGTTTTATCAACAAAAAGGAAAAAATAATTCCATCCGTGAAAAAAAATTGTAACGTTTATGGACAAAGTTGGTTCAAGAGTTTTCGGTCCGAGAATTTTGATGTCATTTAAAAAGTATGGCTATACACAAAAGCTTGACATTTGGGTACCACACGAGCTCAATGAAAGAAACGTAATGAATCGTGTACTAATTTGCAATTCTCTATTGAAACTTAATTAAACCGGACCATTTTTTTAAAGATTGATCACTGGTGATGAAAAGTGGATCACCTACGACAAGAACGTGCGAAAGAACGTGGTCAAAGGGTCGTCAAACTCCACAGACTGTAGCGAAACACGGATTAACACGCAATAAGGTGATGCTGTGTGTATGGTGGGATCGGAAGAACATCGTTTATTATGAGCTTTTACCGCCGGACAAGTCAACTAATGAGACTCAAGCAAGAAATTGAGAAAAAACGGCGGGAATTAATCAACAGAAAAGGAGTGGTCTTTCATCATGATAACGCACACACACATTTTTGGCCACTCAGTAAAAATTGAGAAAGCTTAATTGGGACTTGGGAAGTGTTAATGCATCCACCATATAGTCCTGACCTTGCACTCTCAGATTTTCACCTGTCAGTCTCTTCAGAATTCTTTGGGTAGTGTTAAGTTAACATCAAGAGAGGACTGTCAAAACTACTTGTCGCATTATTTTGATTCAAGATTTCTACAGCAACGAGATTATGTCACTACCTACAAGATGGCAACAAGTTATCGAACAAAATGACACATATAAGTAATTAAGTTTAAGTGTAATTAATCTTTGAAAAAATGTCTTGAATTTGTATATAAAATACGAAGAAACTTTTCCCCGACCTTTTATATAGTGGCCCTCAATGGGAATGGTGGGAATAATAAAATGAAAATGGGTGGGAAACAAAGGATTTTTTTATAGAAAAATGGGCATAATAACTGATCTATAAAAATATATAATCTATAAAAATGCTAGTTATTTGTAATTCCATAAATTTTTAAGTCTTAATTCAATGTACCTATATAATCATCATCATTACATCATTACAGCCCTTTATAAGTCCACTACTGAACATGGGCCTCCCCCAAGGAATGCCACAAAGCACGGTCCTGAGCCACCTGCATCCATCGACTTCCTGCATGTCTTACCAGGTTGTCACTCCATCTAGTGGGGGGTCGCCCTACACTTCGTCTATCGGTACGAGGCTGCCACTCGAGAACCTTTCTTCCCTATCGGTTGTCGGTTCTTCGAGCTATATGGCCGGTCCACTGCCACTTCAGCTTACTAATCCGTTGGGCTATGTCGGTTACTCTGGTTAGAATATGCTCATTTCTAAGTTTATCACGCAGAGAAACCCCGAGCATATCGTTGGCAAATCGAAGGTGAGTGATGTACTCGCCATTGATGTTAATACCGCATCCTTTCCAGTCCAGTAGCTTTAAAACATCTTCCAATGCAGTGGTGAAGAGTTTCGGGGATATAACGTCACCCTGTCTTACACCTCTCTGCAGTTGGATAGGTTTCGTACTCTGATTCTGTACTCGGATAGTCATCGTAGCCCTACTGTACAAACACTTCAGCATTTCGATATACCGACAGTCAACTTGGCACCGCTGAAGGGACTGCAGCATCGCCCAAATTTCGACGGAAGCAAAGGCTTTCTCATAGTCCACATACGCAAGGCAAAGTGGCAGATTATACTCTTCTGTCTTCTGTACAATTTGCCGAAGGGTATGTATGTGGTCCATGGTACTAAAGCCTTTTCGGAAACCGGCTTGTTCGGGAGGCTGGAAGTCGTCAAGTCTGCGTGCGAGATGATTCGTAATGACTCTCGAGAACAGCACGTAGACGCGACTCAGAAGGGAAATCGGTCTGTAGTTCTTCAAGAGAGCGTTGTCGCCTTTCTTGAAGAACAAGACCACCGCACTTCTGCTCCACGCCTCCTGAGTAGTGCCACCATGGAGGTCGGAATTAAAGAGCTTCTGAACGACTTCAAGTACTGTTTTTCCACCCGCTTTCAAAAGCTCCGCTGTAATTCCATCCTCGCCTAGGGCTCTGCTGTTCTTAAGGTGCTGGAAAGCCATTCTAATCTCGCTCAGACTTACGTCCGGGATATCTTCAGAATAGTTTCGGATAAGACTCGCTCTTGGATCGTCACTAACACTTACGTGTGGCTCCAACGATGACGTGTACAGCTGCCCATAGAACCTCTCAATCTCACTCAAAATCTCAGGTGTCCCGCAAACGATGCTGCCACACTAGGTCTTCAGCTTTGACAGTTGGTTCTTTCTGGCAGACAGATCACTGGCAAATACTTTGGAGCCTTGGTTCCGCTTTCTTCAATACAAGCTGTATTGAAGTTGCGTAAGT